TCTCAGGTGAGAATTAACAAAACATAAAAAACCAGAGTATACATTTTGACTCCCCAATATAACAGCCATCCCTTAGTATCCATGGGGAGCTGGTTCCAGGACCCCCACCGATACCAGAATCAGCAGATGCTCAAGTCCCTTATGTAACATGGCATAGATGAATGAAAACAGTTGGCCCTCCAAGTCTGCGGACTCCCAACCACAGATCAAAAACAGTACAGGTATTTATTGGGGGGGGGGGGAGTCCACATATAAGTGGATCCGTGCAGCTCAAACCCGTATTACCCAAGGATCAACTATACTTCCACTAAATGTACCCCTAAACTGATCTCAAATTTTAAAGGATTCTGTTAGAAGTAACACTAAAGCATATCACCACAATTCAAAGAATGCAATAATAACTCTACTTTTTAATCTTTAAATTGAAATAGAGTAAGGTTAATATCTCCTTCTGTAAACTGATGTCCTAGTAATCTTAGAAATACTTACTTATAGTAACAAATGTCCGTCCCCACACGAGTCCACCATGGTCTGGCATTTAATGCTTCCTGAACTGAATACATGAGTGGTTGCATACCTTTGACAGAGAGACAGAAAAAGAAAATCCTTTCAAAATTTTTGAGATAAAAATTAATCTTGCCATTGTAGAAAGCAACAAATATTCAGAAAGTTAAAAGGCAACACATTTCCATTATTTTAGTATATATTTTTTAAAAATCTGAGAAATTTCTTTAAAATCTCATAAGTCAATCAATATGCTTTAATTTCCAGTTTAACTAAAATAGATTACAACTTTAAAGAGTGAAAAGTCATTAAACCTTTTCTATGTTAGATCAGTTAAAATAAAAAGGAATATACACACACACACATACACACACACACATCTTATAATAAGTGAAAGAGTAAAAAAAAAAAAGAAAATAGCTCTATAGCTCTCAGAAGATTATCTACACTGAAGAAAAAGAAAAAATGCCACCAAAATAGCATGGTTATTTTCTTCCCATACAAATGTGATTATAGCAGGGAGGAGGAGAAGGAAAGACTGTTAACAAAAATAGGATTAAATATATAGTGTATTTTCTTGGGTAGTTTTAGAAATATACTTTCCACATGAACTTTAAAATCACCTTATCCTATTTCATAAAAGAAGGTACTGGGTTTCTAACTGGAATGAAATTCATGTTAATTTTACAAATGATGATCGTTTTTGAGATGCGATTTGACTTTCCTTAAATCCTAACTTAAGATATAATCATTTTCTTAATTTTCTTGCTACAGACCATTTTGCTAAACTTATCCGGGTATCTTTTTAGTCTTTAGTTGTCTCTTGGGCTTTCTAAGTATGTAGACCATACCATTTGTAATTTAAAATATTTTATCTTTTCGTACTTATATTTACTCTTTCTACTTTTCATTTTCTATTTACAGAAATGAAACCTCCAAAATGATTCTTAATATAGTGGTAAGCAGAACTGTCTTGTTCATAATTTTAATCCAGCTGTTTTGCCATTCAATAGAATGTCAATTTTTTTTATAAATCAACTCTATCACATTTAAATAACAAAAGTGCTAACACTGAATAATTCTGATGTGCCAGACCTTGCTCTAAGCATATTTATATAACTTAAGTCACTAAATCCTCACAACAACCCTCTGTGGTAGGTGCTATGATCATTTCCATAGCTGAAGTCGTTTCTTCCATAATTCTTATTACACTTACGGATTTTAATTATTTTATCAAATGCCTTTTTAGCACCCACTAACAGAATCACATGGCTTTTCTCCTTTAATTTGTTGATGCAATAAATTATGCTGAAAGGTTTCCTAATGTGAACTCTTTGCATTCCAAGGAGATACTATTCTTTTACAGCATATGATTAGATTAGCTGAAATATCATTTAGGACTTTTGCATCTAAAAATGGTCTTTTGATTTTAATTAGCTTTACCAAGTATTGGTATAAGATTACACTAGCTTTGGAAAAATATATTAATGATAATTTACTGGAATAAAAGTAAAATCTATTTTTTAAAAGGTAAGTATCTCAGCTGCAATACCATCTCAATATAGCACCTAATACATTTCTTATTTCCTCAAGAACAGTTATAGAGTGTTCATAATCATTATATTTTATTAGTCAATTCCAGTGCTTCTATATTTTGTTTTATTTCTAGTTTTAAAAATAGTATTTCTAAAATAGTATTTAAAATAGTATTTCTAATTTTAAAAATTTTCTTCTTCTTTTGGTTTATCTTCTTTTTTTTCTAATATCTTAAGTTGGGTGCTTAGTTTACTTATTTTTAGCCTTTTTTTATTGTAAACTAGAGGCCCGGTACATGAATTCGTGCACAGGTGGGGTCCCTCAGCCTGGTCGGCAATCAGGGCTGATGGGGGCCATCTCACCCAGTCCCGATCGGGGTGATTGGGGCCAGCTGGCAGGGGCAGGGACTGTGGGAGCTTGGCTGGCCACAGAAGGTTGGCTGTGGGAGCGCACTGACCACCAGGGGGCAGCTCCTGCACTGAGCATCTGCCCCCTGGTAGTCAGTGCGCATCATAGCTACTGGCCTGTCGTCGATCGTAATGGTCGCTTCGGCTTTTATATAGACTAGAGGCCCTGTGCATGAAATTCGTGCAAGGGACTCGACCCTCGCAGACCCTCACAGCCCCAGCTGGCCCTCACAACCCTGGCTTCGTCCATAAGGTCATCTGGACAGTTATTCTGCTGTTTAGTCTAATTAGCATATTAGCTCTTTACTATATAGGATAATGCCAGTTATTAAAGGCTTTCAATTTTCCTCTGAATACCAGTTAGCTATGCCCATAAGTCTATAATGTGTAGCACTTTCTAGATCCAATTGAACCTTCTGCCACAGTGGAAATGTCCTCTACCAACACTGTCCAATCTGGCAGCCAACCACCAGGCCTGGCTATTATGCACAGAAAGTGAACTTAGAGACACTAAAGAACTGAATTTTAAATCTCTAATTAATTTAAATATTAAGTCACATATGGCAAGTCACTACTATAATGACCAGTCCAATTCTAGGTAATTTCTGGTATCAGTTTTAAATTTTCTCTCTGGGTTTTTGTTTTTAGAAGACTATTACATATTTCCAAGTACTCATTTTTGTTCGACTTGTTGTTGATTTCTACTATTTTTCATCACAGCAAGGAAATCTAAAATCTCTGGTAACTAGAGTTAATGTTGCTATACGGCTCGCTTGAAAGTTGCCAGGAGAACAGATCTGAAAAGTTCTCATCACAAGAAAAAAATTGTAACTGTGTCATAATGGGTATTAGCTAGATTTATTGTGATCATTTTGCAAGTACACAAATATCTAATTATCATGTTGCATATCTAACACTAATATGTCAATACGTTACAAGTTATATGTCAATTATATCTCAATTTATAAAAGAATTGTGGATATTAAAGCATCTTCAAGTACTTTAACTGGTTAATACACATCTATTCAGTGCTTTTGGCCCTGAATTTTTCTTTGTCTAATATTAACATTACCACTTTTGTTTCATTTTATTTGCATTTGCCTACTTTATCTCTGCCCAATTATTTTCAACTTTTCTGTCATTTAAATAACACATACACACACACAGATTCTCTTGCTCTCTTCCCACCACCCCTCCCCCAATTGTGTAATTCTCAATACATGATTTTTGAGGACATCTTACCTCATTCATTAGTAATGACAGATATACATTTCATTTCATTCCTTCCATCTTATTTTCTTTCTACTATTGATTAAATATTTCTTCTCCTTCTTTACCTTTTTATTTTACAGTTTTGGTTGCATTTCCCCACATTTCCTTTTGATTTGAAAAGTTTTCTATTGTGCTTTCCATCATAATACTTATGATTACTATTTCTCTGATACTATATAAAAATAACTAAGCAATCCCACCAAGAAAAATGAGCTTTCACTTCTTCCACGTCACTCTCTTAGAATGATTTTACTTAACACATTTTATAAATTCCAAGTCTTCTAACTTGAGACCATTTTCCTTGTTTATTCTTCCCAGAGATAGTTCAGGGGTAGCATATTTTCTGATTTCTACATACACAAAGATGCAGTTTGTTGGAAGTGACAAAAAATTACAGATTTTGCAAAAGACAGACAGCTATTTGGCTGTCTTCTCACTTCCAGCACCACAGATGAGAAGTCCAATACTAATCTAATTTTTTCACATGCAGAACAACAAGGTCATTATGAGCACGCGATCTGCAACCAGACTATCTGGGTCTGAACTCTAACTTCATCTCATCAGGTGTGTGATCCTGGGCAGATTACTGAACCACTTAACACCCGTGTCCCCTCTGTAAAATGAGTGCAACGACAGTGCTAGAATATTGGTTGTGTGGATTAAGAGCATCACATCTGTTAGCACTTAAAGAAGGTCTGGTACATGATGAATATTCAATAAATATTAGCTGCTGTTATAATCGTTAATTAACCAGTTGTTTTAAAGTGGATGTATGATAAGATTTTTGTTTTACTTGAAACTCATGTATTTCACTGGTACATAAAAGATTCCTATCTTTCTTATTTCTACCTAGGATTCAGTGAGCCATTTCAAATAGAAACAGTAACCTCCTCCAGACACACAAAATTCATAATGGTTATTTATAGCAAGGTGGAACAAGATTCAGGCTGAGGTCAAAGGGCACATTAGATTTATCTGAAATATTCTAGTTTTATAAAAGACAATGTATTCTTACATTACTTTTAAAATGATAAGTTCATTCTGGGCAGTGAAGGGAGCTACATTTGGAAATTCTGACTATGAAAACCATATGAATCAAACAGGGTGCCCCAATAATAATCAATCAAATGAGGTAACTCAGGCTGAATAAACCATAATCTACTCAATGTGATATAGAAAAGCTATCACTGAATAATTAATGTAGTCATTAGCCAAAGAATAAAACCTTGCTGTGCATAAAACAAATACACTAAGAACTTCCCATCTCGTCATATGAATATAGACCAGCTGTTCTCAACCTGTGGGTAGCAACCCCTTTGGCGGTCGAACGACCCTGTCACAGGGGTCGCCTAAGACCATCCTGTATATCAGATATTTACATTACGATTCATAACAGTAACAACATTACAATTATGAAGTAGCAACAAAAATAATGTTATGGTTGGGTCACAACATGAGGAACTGAACTGTATGAAAGGGTCACGGCATTAGGAAGGTTGAGAACCACTGGCTTAGGGGATGGGGCAATCTGTTCGCTATCAGATATTTATATTACGATTCATAATATTAGCAACATTACAATTATGAAGTAGCAACAAAAATAATGTTATGGTTGGGTCACAACATGAGGAACTGTATTTAAAGGGCCAGAAGGTTGAGAACCACTGATCTATCCATTGCCTCATTCGTTTAACAAATATCTACTGAACATGAATTAAATGCCATGGTATAAATACTGTGGTCAGCAACAGAGACACTTCTCCTGACCTTATGAAATTTACAAGCAAGTGGTAAGGGTAGGCAGAGAAGGTATTAATCATTCACACACAATAACAACATAAAGATGTAAAGAGCACCC